ATTTTGTGTGCGTGTACCGTCAAATCAGATCTGACTGGTACAGGAGGATATTGCGCCTCCTTCCCCGGCAGAGCATCTGGTGGATTCGAACCGTGTTCCTCTGGGAACTATCTAAGTTCTAAAGTCCATCATATCTCAGTCCAGTCTGCTTGAGCCAGGCATTGCACTCTCTTGTAGCTCTAAGAGAAGGAACCCTTCCCCCTCTGCCAAGCTATCTACCAAAAAACCCCACAAAACTTGGCAGCAAACAGATGCTGGGAATCTAATCCAATACCCTGTGCAAATAAAAGAAAGAGCTCTGGAAAAGAAATGATTATACAAAATATGGGTTGTTAATTGCTAGAGTCAATTCAGACTTAAAGTGACAACATCTGCTCAGAGTAGAACTGCTTGATTTCATGGATATGGGCTTTCTCAGCCTGTCTTCTGAGGCATCTCTGAGTGGACTCAGCCTGGCAACCTTTAGACCAGTTGGTTTTTGTCAATTTGACTGTGTATGACTCATAGCAACCCTATTAACAACAGCTCTGCACCTTGCTCTATACTGAGCTGACTTCATCATCTCTGACACACTTGAGCCCATTGCTACAGTCACTGTGTCAATCCATCTCATCAAGTGTCTACCTCTCTTTCACTGACCCGCCACCTTTCCAAACTTGATGTCCTTCTCCAAGACTGGTCTCCAAAGACTGACCACATGCCCAAAATATGTAAGATAACATCTCACCAGCCTTGTCTCCAAGAAACCTTTTTTACTTTTCTCTTTATTAGAATTCTTTGTTCTCTTGGCAATCCATTGTATGTCCAATACTCTTTTCCAGCATCACAACTCTAATGCATCAATTCTCTGTCTGTCACCCATAGTCATTGTCCAGCTTTCAGATGTATAGCAAGCAATTGAAAAGACCAAGACTAAGGTGTACCTTAGTCTTTAGACTCACATCATTGCTCTTTAGCACTCTGGAGAAGTCCTTGATAACAGATATTTCTAGTGCATCTTGTCTTTTGATTTCCTGATTACTGCTGCCAAGGGTGCTGATTGTGAATCCAAGTAAGATGAAATCATTACAAGTTTAATCCATTAGCACCTTGACTCAATTGTACCTTGACTCAACTTTGGTTCTTTTGTACTTTGACCAGTATTTACCCATGTGCTGTGCAGGGACTCCTATGTATGAGTATACATACTCCTTTAGTAAGACAGGGAGTTTTGGTGGCAAACTTTGTATGGTGTTTCACTGTTAAACCAAAGGCTACATCTCTCTGGAGGTTCTAATGCACCAGCAGCAATCTCTTCCTGTGTGATTTATATTCTGGGAAACCCAACAGAGGGTCAGTTATGAGTGGGTACTGATGGAGTGCCAATAAGTAATAGAAATATAACCTATACTAAAAGTTTTATCATGTGAGTGTGTGTTCAGGTATATGTAATCACGATAGGTATAGGTAGTAAAAGTCGAAAACCAAACAAGTTGAACCAGAACTGATGGCTGTGTCTCTCTTAACTTCCAATCCAGGGCTCTTTCAACTGTATCACTTTCCTCTCTTGATTTCACTTTTTTCATTTATGTAAAAATTTATTTGACCAAAATGTAGAAAAAGAGATACTATCATATATGATACAGTGGCAAGAGTCTAAAGGAAAAGTGTGGGTTTTAATAAATTGCATGATTTGCTAGTGTGTCTCTTGGGAAGTGTGATGCTTAATAAATACAAGTGAGGGGCAGAGGATGTGGAATTTTGTTAATTTTGAAGTTTAATCGGGAACACTTCAAAACTTGTTCACTGCTGCCCTGGAGTCAATTCTGATCCATAATGAGCCTCCATTTCATTTTTGAGGTCATAAATCTTTTTTCTGTGGATTCAAACTGCCGAGGATTCTTGACCTTTTGGTTATCAGCAAAACGGACTAACCACCAGAAGTCCTGAAGGGAACAGTTGGGGAGCTGGTCATGAATTTCTCAGAACTTCATTTTGAAGGAAAAAAATTGAATTATGACTTGAATATAAGAGAGAAAGTGAACTCATCCTGCGGAAGGAATGTCACTATCAAATAAGATAATTTACTTGGTAAAGAATTCTCCAAGCAGGAAACTAAAAGGGAAAAGTTGGTTTTAAGCAAGAGAACAGCATGTGCTGCTTTTTGAGGTTTTGTTTGTTAAAGGAGAAGAGGAAACAGATGGAGAGTGGGAAAATGTTAGAGTGCAGCTCAATGTGTTCTTCAGAGACCTCTAGGGTAAGGGTTGTTTGGTCATGTACTGCCCAGCAAATACGACAAAAGAAACCAACAAACGGAAGAATCTCATTGCCGTCGTAACTGACTCTTTAAAGGATTTCCACTGTGGAAAATGGCATGAGTGGAGGGTTTTAATTCTCCCCTGGAGCAGCTCATGGATTTGAAGCACCAGAAGGTGGGGTCTTTGGATTAACGTGCACGTCTCTCCAGACTAGACACCACAAGAGCTTCGTAGCAGATAGAAAGCACCCACGATAAAGCCAAATGCTAGGCCGCTGTTGAAAGCATCAGACAAGTCCACAAGCATTCACTCTGTGTGCCTGACTTCTTCCAGCAGCAAACTGCTTCATAGCAGCCTGCAGAAGCCTCCTGGCCACAGCTGGCCGCACAGCGGGAAAGCTTTGTCAAGGGCCTCCCCCTAAGCCCCAGTGGTGTTCCATGAGAATTGGTTAACACAGTGACTGATTTTAAAGCCCTTGAAAATGAAAACATTAATAGAAAACACTGATTAGGTCTCTTCTGCAAAGCACCAGCGATCAACTGGAAGTGTTGTTGAGAATATAAATGCTGTCCCCGGGGACAAAATTTAACTTCTGCCTTTGTAACTTTGACCTTTGAGGGCTTTTCACTATGGTTTGAAATGTTATATTGATTATAATCACGTTGTTTTTACCCTTAAAACAACATTTTAGCCTTAAAGTAAACCTAGAGGAAGAATAATTCTCAAAGTAAATGATAGAATAATGTCCTGCTCAATCGTCTCTCGAAATTATTTTTCTTTTTTGGTGCATAATTATTTCATTATATGTGAGACCACATGCCATCTATGCATTAATTAAACTATTTTTAATTCTTTCAGTTATACATTTATCCTATTTCAACTAATGCAATTGTTCAAATAAGCTTTGACTTTAAGGACAGTTTTAAAAGAACCTGTATTTTCCTATCTCTCTGTTTAATGCTCCAGTGGTTTGCCATAACACCAAGACCAGCTGAGTAAATGGAATCCCTGTTTAGCACCCGGTTCTGTCGCCTTTGCACCAGTGGGATTTTCTGAAGAGCAAATAGATTGAACCACAACTTGCCAAATAAAATATCTGATCTCATCCTCAATTCCTGTTAATACCCAAAAATTCACAGAGACATGCTAGCCTGTCAACGATAACATTTTTAAACTGTGCCACTGGACTTACTCAGTGCCCAGCTGCATCCGATCCCTGGTTTTTCAAAAACAAAGTTAGATATAAAATTAAATCCTAGTGTGTGAGAAATAGAGATTCTGAACCTATAGA